GAGAAATAGCTATAAACATTTTCACGCATAAATGTAAGAGAAATCATGAAAGAATCAGGTTGGGAAAAATTCCACAGTCGTCACAATGTAGGAAAAAGTCCTCTGCAGACATTCACTCAGCTGGATATACTCCATGTGGTTTAAGTGAGGGAGCTGCATTGCATTTTTGAATTCTCATGCACTGTATGAGCAAAATTATTTGGTCACACCTCTTAATCTTTGAATTTGAGAGTTTTCACTGGAAAGGGAAAGCATTTAGGAGCTAGAGTCATTCAGCCACAAAGTCCCAGACAAGATTACAATGTGTTGTGTAGGTGGCCGAGGACGTTTGTTCATGTAGTGGATGTTGGATAATGTTGCAGCACGTGTGAAAAAGATTCAATACAAGATTCCTGACACCGTCAAACAAACGGATGTTTCTTGATTTTCAGGACAAGAGATGCAATTGTAAGGTAGCTTTGAATGAAGACTCAAGGAGCTTATTATACTATATATTGTATTATAATCGATGTAGCTCAGTAAGACCTACAACTGAATTCTAATATTATAATTGTAAGCCCTTGTGAACAATGTAAATACATGTTGGTTAAGTTGAGAGCTACTTTGGGTCTCACCATGTTGTTCTGTCTCTGTTGCTCCTCCATCATAGAGACCTGACTAACAGGGGGCATGCCCACCACCACAGACTGGTCAGATCAGAAGAAGGAGGGAGGGGGAGTGGAGAAGAGTGGTGGAAGTGTGAGGGAAAAAAAAGAAAAGAAAAAAAAAGAAAGAGTGGAGGAAAGAGTTAGCAGCAACGCATGCAGAAATCCCAGGCTGTTCAGGTGTCAACATCAGGCAGTGCAGGAGGAATCTGATGAGGGAAAACGGGCAGACGAGCCAGCACAGAGCGCGTTCATTTATTTACCTGCTGTTGGACATTGCCGTGGGAAACTGGAATAGGACCTGGGGCTCTGTTGATGAAGTTCTGGTTGGGGGGGACCTGATTGGGCTGCATAGGTCCTGCTGCACTGTTTAACTGCTGAATAACCAGAGAAAGCAAGAAACTGC